TAATTTGGTGCCCCCAAATCTATCTCTGTCAACATCAGCCTATTAGGATCATTAGCACCCGTGATTCCATAATCTGGAGCCTCATAATGTTCTCAGCAGGTAAGATAAGAGTAATTGCTGAATCTTGTCAAGTAAGACTCAGTTGTGGGTAAAGTCACTACTTTGCAGGGAAAAAGAGCATGATTCCACATAAATTAAAGGCAGAAAAAACTGTAATAGAAGGTCTCTGAATTGATGAGTCAGGTATGAGCTCCTTTTCTCCATTCACCTTAACAAGTCGTTGAATTTTCTGTGTCTAACTGGATCCAAGATAGAAACTGATTACTGCGCAGTAGTTTGAGGTTTTTTTGCTCTCCTGAACTGATTTGAGCAAGATAATACTTCTTGAGCAACTACTTGTGCTTGTTGCTTTATATTCCAGAGGTCTCTAGATGAAATCTTTACTGGCACATCTTCATTTTTCTGGGTGTTTGACTTTAGGCATGACAAGTAAGAATCAAGATCCTTGACTTCCTTGCCTTTTAAGAATGATAGTATGCACAAAACCATTTTCCAGTTCATCTACATGGTCCTTTTAAGTTTTATAAGAGTGGTTCTTTGTCCTACACCTAAAACTTTGGCTTTGGAGGAGGCAGCAAAGTGATTTATAAAGGTATAAATAGAAAGCAAAAGAATGAAGATAGGTTTGTGCTCATTTTGAGCTGAGATTAGATACTTAGTCATCTGGTACTGGTAAAAACCTAAGAATAAAATTTGTCCTAAGGATCTGAGACCCATTTTGAACAGATACTTGGACTGCTTTTCTAATTTTTGTATGCAATCTGATAAGCAGATAATTGGTTTTCTGATTATTCTCTTAACTTTCTATTCAGGTTTTTAATTTATATAATCAGTACTAAATTTCCATGTGCCCTTTCTGTAGTTTTTGTATCTGGTTTTCATTTACAGCTTTTTATATGTAGCTGTTCATCTGATTATTTTGTTGGCCTCCTTAGTAAGTTGAGATGAATTGAAAAAGGGTACATTTTTGTGGTTATGCAAGTTTGTCCTCACCATATTCTGTGCACGTACATATTTGTAGCTCTACCTGAAGTTCTATTTTCTTTCTATATTGATATAGTAACAAAGTAGGAATTGTTACTCTTCACAAATGCTGCTCTTGGTTTTAGAAGTAGGTACCATACTGCCTATCTTGTAATTGTAACTAATTGTCATAGATTACGTATTCTTTGTTAGCAATTTTGCTGCTTATTAAGTTCTGGCAGGTTTTTCAGTTCAAAATAACACCTGTTACTGGTAACTAATGGTAATTGAAATCAAGTGGGATTTGTTCTATCTCTGATGCTGTCATGTTTTCCAAATAATGAATATGAAAAAAGGTTAAAGTACAGACTGCTATTATTGTTTATTTTCATAACTGATAACCAGTGTACTCAGGACCTGTGCTTTAGGAGTTTTTAATGTTCTCAAATGTAATGTTTTCACTTTATTTATTTTGATTTGAGCTATTCAAACCTTTTACACCAGATTGTGTTACATCGCAAGTTAGACTCCAGGCTGGAAAGGTCTAGAGAAATAAACATGGACAGGTGGTTGCAGTCTCCAAAATATTTGACTTAATAGTGATTTAATTCATACAGACACAGTCAAAGGTGGAGTTCATTTCTTCAGAGTATGATACTAACTATTACCATAATCATTTATGGCCTGTATTCCAGCTGCTATGGCAGATGAAGGAGGACAGCTGCAAAAACCTGCAGAACATGAAACAGCTGGTCCCCAGAGTGAGGCATCCATAAAGCTGAGTCAGGAACAGAAAATTTCCTTTGGAAAATACACTGTGTGGTCATGTAACTAATGACAAAAAAACCCATGTATACAACAGGTCAAGAATAAGTTGCATAGACCCCTTAGTTATATTTTTTCATATGATTAGAGATATGTTTGTGCGTCTACATCCTTACTTAGGATTGTTACCCTGAAAATTTTTAAAGGAAAAAAAAATATAATTTGGGTAGTAGGGAGAGCTGGTGGTGTTTGAATGCTTATATGGTCAACACCAAACTTGGGAATTTTTAGAGTTGCTGTGTGAACTTACGCCCTTAAGTTAATGAGAAACCTGTACTACTAGGTTATCTGTTTTGGTAAAACAGCATTTATGGGGGGTGGAAGGAGGTGTATACTTTGCTTTCAGAGATACTGATGGTGGAAGGGGAACAGAGTGGGACAAATCTTGTCTTTCACTGCAGACTGTGAAGAGGAGCTTGTGGTAGTGGATGCTTGTACTTCTGCACGTTTTATGTTCAACTCTCAGTTTGGGTTTTCCTTTGCGATCTCTTTTAGTCAGGCATTCTTCTGCCCTAAATCCTTATCAGTTTTCATTCTATTTTCCTTCCATCCTGCCTATAAAAGCAAGCCTGTATAGATCTTTAGGAAGTGCTATGAAGTGTTGCCATTTCATACATATAGTTTAATAGTGCTTAAGCACTCTTTGATAGGCACTGTTGAAAAGTATCAGCAGAAGATTAGGTTCTATCATGGCACACACTATTTGCAATTTCGCTTCCTTGATCTGATGGTGCACAAAGTTTCACCAGCCCGATTAGATCTTAGGCTGAAGATTGTTTGAAAATTGTAAAAAGTTATAGCTGAATATTCAGTAGTTTTGCAACAGCAGCATGGGTAGACTGCCTTTCTAAAGTTATTCTGATTATTTAACTAGAAAAAAACCCTGTTATTTCAGCGGTATTATTGACAGCACAAAGTTGAGCGCTGCAGCTGACACAGCAGAAGGAAGGGATGCCATCTAGGTGATGACATTGACAACCTGAAAGAGCGGGTCTGTGAGAACCTGATGAGGTTCAACAGGTCCAGGTGCAAGGTGTGCTGCACCTGGGTCAGGACAGTCCTAGATATGAGTATAGACCGGGAGATGAACTTTTTGAGAGTAGCCCTGTGGAGAAGGATTTAGGGATGCTGCTGGACAAAAAGCTGTACAGAAGTCAACAATGCTGCAAGTGCAGAAATCCAACTGTACTCTGGGCTGCATCAAATGCAGCAGGGCCAGGGAGGTTGGTCCTTCCCTGTGTTCTGTCCTTGTTAGACCCCACCTGGAATAGTGCGTTCGGGTCTGGATTCTTCAGGAAAAGAAACATGCGGAACTGTTAGAGCTCCAGAGAAAGGCCATGAAGATGATAAGAGGGCTTGAGCAATTCTTCTAAGAAGACAGATGGAGAGAGCTGGGATTGTTCAGCCTGGAGAAGAGAAGGCTGTGAGGAGACCTTACTGCAGTCTTCCAGTACTTAAAGAGGGCTTTGAAAAAGAGATAGATTTTTTTACCTGAGGAGATAGTGATAGCACGAGGGGCTAAGAACTAGAACAGTTTTAAACTAAAAATATGAACAATTTAGATTAAATGGTATAAAGTTCTTTCCTGTGAGGGTGGTGAGGTACTGGAATAGGCTGCCCGGAGACGTTACGGATGGGCCATCCCTGGAGGTGTTCAAGACCTGATCTAATGGGTGGCATCCCTGCCTGTGGCAGGGGTGTTGGAGATGGGTGATCTTTAAGGTCCCTTCTAACTCAAACTATTCCATGATTTTAAGATTGTAGCAGCCTTACAAGGAGAAGAGCTGTGTTTATGTAAATGGCTGTGCAAATACAGTAGTACCCTGGGTGACTCGCACTGTTCTTGTTATGTGTGATGCAGTCAGCTTGCATTTTAAGTATTCCTTATGTGTTGAGTTTTATATTAAGAACAGCTATTTTAAAGAGGTGCTTTATATGGCAAGTGAACTTTAAACATGCTGCCTTTGGAGGCAGAAAGTGCCCTGGCTTGGTATTTAATTAGTGTTGTGCAAAGTACTGTAGTTCTGAGGTTGCAGAAAGTGCTGGTTTCCCTGGAAGCATTAGAAAGCCTTGATTTTAGACAATACTCTATTGTCAGTGCAGTGCTGGTTCAGCAGCATCTCTGCACACATTTGGCAAATATTTAAAGGACACATTTTGTGTGATTGGTTCAGCCTTTGAAAATTATTAACTACTTTGTGTTAAAGTATGTACACAGCAATGCAAGATTTTATCTTGACAATCCCATGCTTTTGTCTTCTACCAGCAAAGGATGTATTTGTGGATTATGGTTTTTTAACTCCTCAAAGGGCAGTGTACTAAAGGCTTTGTAATTGCTTCTTTACTGATGAGGTATGGGAAAGCATTTAATTTCTGTGACTTTGTGAAGCTAGAATAATACAGTAGCTATGGTAGACAAAATTTCATTAGCCAGGGAAATAAATGAAACTTTTCTTATCAAGTTACTTCAAAGCGTGTGTTTCCGTTTAGCTTTAACCTTTTTACATGTTGTAAACTCCGGTCAGAGGTAATACATGCTGTCTGGACTATGCAGCTAATCTGCAAATAAGGCTGTGCAAAACACAGAATAAATGTCCTTGACAGCCATCTTAGATCTTTTACAATTTTGTACGCTTTTTGCTGATTAGATTGCTTTTTTTTGGTTAACATATCAGATATTTACATTAATGGGAAAGTTGAATAGGTAGTGTTAATAGCAAGGATGTGTGACTTGTAAATGGTAAATCTTTAAAGTGTTTATAAATATTGCAGTCCTGATTTGTCTCTTATACAATTTCTCTGGGAAATGTATGCTGTATGTATCCTTAGCTGGGAAGCTCCATACTTGTGCTTTGTAACACTGTTCAGTAACCCAACTAAAAAGTACCACTAATCAATTCAGAAGGAAAAAAATTGTATTTGTTGGAATCAGAAGCCAGAATTATTTTTTCAGAAGGCAACCCAACAATATCTAGAAAACTCCTCACTGCCATGTTACACAGTGCTGCATTTTTGAGATGATTATCAATGTGATTTAAAAACATGTTTGTTAAAAATACTGATTATGTGTAATAATTACCTTGATAGTATCAGTTACCAGAAAAGTTCTGTATTAAAGAATTAATGATTTTCTCTCTTTTTTTCTGTTCTAGGCTTAAGAGAAGCATAAGCGATTCAATTACAACTCTGACATTTTGGACCACGAGTGATGTTAAAACTATTTGAATGTATTGGAGCATGGCTACTTCTTAAAATGCAGAAATTAAAGGAAATTACTGCTTATCAAAACCTACTAAATATCTGAATTTTCTAGACATCCTGTATTTAACTGTGTCCTTAAATGTCCATGATTAAGATCTCATGCAACCATTGTATATTTTGGAGACTATTCTCCAGAAGAGAACTGTGCATTTAAAAAGCAGAAATGACTGTGTTTTTTCTTGGAACTTACTAAGGTTGAACATACTGAAAGACCATGACCAGCTTGAAGCGGTCCCAGACCGAAAGGGCTGTTGCCACTGGGGTATCAGTTGGGACAGATGGCACCTCAAAAGTCCACTCGGATGACTTCTACATGAGACGCTTTAGGTCACAGAATGGCAGTTTAGGATCTGCAGTCATGGCACCAGTTGGACCTCCTCGCAATGAGAGCTCCCACCATGTTACCTCTACCCCTGGAGTCCCTAAAATGGGGGTCAGGGCAAGGATTGCTGATTGGCCCCCAAGAAAGGAGAACATCAAGGAGACAACCAGATCTAGTCAAGATATTGAAACATCAAGTTGCCTTGACAGCATGTCTTCTAAAAGCAGTCCTGGGAGTCAGGGAAGCTCTGTTAACCTGAATGCTGGTGATTCTGTCATGTTAAAGAGCATCCAGAGCACACTTAAAAACAAGACCAGACAATCTGAGAATCTAGACTCCAGGTTTCTTACACCCGATGGCTATCCCAGTTCCCCAAGGAAAGCTCTTCGCAGAATACGACAGCGCAGCAACAGCGACATCACCATAAGTGAGCTTGATGTGGATAGTTTTGATGAATGTATTTCACCCACTTTTAAATCTGGACCATCTCTGCACAGAGAGTATGGCAGCACATCTTCCATAGATAAGCAGGGAACTTCAGGGGAAAGTTTTTTTGACTTATTGAAGGGCTATAAAGATGATAAGTCTGACCAGAGAAGCTCAGGCTCAACTAAACTTGGTGAGCTTCTGATTGCCAGTGGAAGCAAGGGTTCAGGATTCTCTCTAGATGTGATAGATGGACCTATTACTCAAAGGGAAAACCTAAGACTCTTTAAGGAAAGGGAGAAGCCACTCAAGAGACGCTCAAAATCAGAGACAGGAGATTCATCTATTTTTCGTAAGCTGCGCAATGCCAAAGGTGAAGGGGAACTTGGGAAGTCTTCAGATCTGGAAGATAACAGGTCAGAAGACAGCATTAAGCCTTGGACTTGTCCGAAGTGTTTTGCTCATTATGATGTACAGAGTATTTTATTTGATTTAAATGAAGCAGCAATCAACAGGCATAATGTTATTAAAAGAAGGAACACAACGACAGGTGCATCTGCTGCTGCTGTAGCATCACTTGTCTCTGGACCCTTGTCCCATTCTGCAAGTTTCAATTCTCCAATGGGCAGCACTGAAGACCTGAATTCAAAAGGAAGTCTCAATATGGACCAGGGGGATGATAAAAGCAATGAACTAGTGATGAGTTGTCCTTATTTTCGTAATGAGATTGGTGGGGAAGGGGAAAGGAAGATCAGCCTTTCCAAATCTAATTCAGGTTCCTTCAGTGGGTGTGAAAGTGCCTCATTTGAGTCGACTCTGAGTTCTCATTGCACAAATGCTGGAGTTGCAGTTCTGGAAGTTCCCAAGGAGAATCTGATTTTACATCTGGACAGAGTGAAAAGATACATCGTTGAACATGTAGACCTTGGTGCATATTATTATAGAAAATTCTTCTACCAGAAAGGTAGGTAAATTTTATTTCTCCCTGAGTTTGAAGAATGTTTTTTTTGTTTTCCAAACATGCAAAATTCAATTGATACTTAATAGTATTTGCAAGAATTAGGGATTTTTTTTTAATATGGTGTGTTTTACTGATGGTATGTGCTATATGTAACAGTCTTTCAGATTGTTGGAGTATAAGAATGTTGAGGATTTTATTGCTGATAGATGTAGCAATGGCTACAAAGTATTAGTGTCCTGAAATGCAGCTTTTGGTATCCATAGAAGTGGACAGGGGTTTACACTTGAAAGGTAGAAACAAGAAAATCCAAAAATACGAGAACTTTATTCCCACTGTGCCAGGAGTTGATGTACTGAGGATTTAATGGAATGTGTATCTTGGACAGTTACAATAATCTTTGGACATCCTAATTCACTTAATAACGCATTTCAAAATTTTTGGAAGTAAATAATACAGAAATGGAGATATGTGTAGATATAACTTTATACACACACACACAAATACCTGTGTTTCAATGCCAACAGTGAATCTGAAAAACCAGGGTGCAGTTCTTTTATCACATGGTTCTGCCCTGAAACCAAGGATTATAATTTCCATTGTATATATATGGGAGGGAGAAAAAAGCCCAAAGCCTTTTTACCTATAGAAAAGAGCAAACCCCAAACATTACCCAGGTACTCCCCCTCTCTCTCCCCCCTGTCAAAATGATACTGGCACCGGGAGATGCAGACCTTCCTCTGTTCTTCACAATTCTGAAAACGATCATAAAGGATTGCAAACCAAAGTCCTTTTAAAGGAGTTCTGCTTGCAGAATTGTGTTGTAGTTCCTGATGGATAGAGCTGGTCTCAGGACTCACCTGTAGAGTGCTTGTTCCTTACCTTCCAATGATCAAGATGGTTTTTCTTTATTTAGTGAATGCAGGTCAAAAGAACTTGTTTCTCACCTATAGAAGCAAGAGGAATGCCTGGTTAGAATTAAATTGATGGTCTTAAAATAAAAAAAACTTATTCTTAACTGCATGTTATTGCTAGTAATAATATTTTACATTTTTCCCTTGCCTTCAAAATATGTCCATCTCTCGCCTCTTCCTCTGTGTATTGTCCATTGTTTAGCTGGCTCTTGTTACTCCTTCCATAGTCTCCTGTTTCTGCATTCTTTCTAGGGCTGAGAGGTAGCCTTTGCTCTGTGTTTTTTGAGAGTGCTGATCCATATTCCTTTTGGACACATAGAAGTTAGGAAAAATAACTTTTTTCCTGGTTTCCTGGGAAAAGTAAGCTAGATGTGTGATATAGGATAAGGTAGGTTTGGAGGGGAGAGCCTGAGGTTTGTGACCTTTGTGATTGTCTTCCTCTCTGTCTCCCTCTGAAGCAATTTGATTCCTTATCAGTCTAGTGAGTTTCACAATCAGCAGCTAAAGTTTCATGTTACAGCTGACCTGATTTACAGCATTTCAGCACTAAGAGGGGAAGACATTATTCCTCCCTCTTCCCTGTACTGGTTCTCTTGTTTTCAGAGAACTTGATAAGCCAGTTGAGTTTACTAAACAAGCAAAGCAGAATTCTTGCCATCACAATAAATTTGGGGTTTACTGCTTGGTTGTTTCTCTCCAGTTCTGGTGAGGGATATTATCTTTCCTCACAGTCACAGAAGTGCCAAAGCCATACAGCCAGGTAAGGGATGAAAGAGAAGAAGAGGAAGGAGGTGTGAGTGAAATTTCAGCCCTTCGGCAAAAACAATTTATTGATTTGCCTTCCTAAAGGAAACCACACCCTCATGCTACTACAGTTCTAGTCACCATTACATTTCCATTTTTTGGTGGATGTAATTTAGAAGAATTGATAAAATCAACATAATCTAGTCCTAAGGGTACTGGTGTGGGGCAGCCAGATATAAAAATGTATGTTATGGAGTAGGATTAGATGGGGAGAAGAAGCTGTGATTTTTTTTCTTTAAGCAATGAAACTGGGGTTTTAAATTCACTTTTCTTGTGTTCAGTCCAGCAGAGTCCAAACCAGGGTGTTGTTTCTGTCAGAGATTTTTATCTGAAAAACTGTACTTCAGAAGCCTCATGAGATATCCCAAACCCCAGTTTTCTACAAGTACAAAATACATTTTATTGACCTCCCATCATTCCCTGAGCAACCTTTAGACTAAAGTTGATGAGTTGGAATAGTGATAAAACTTGAAGCAGCATAATGGGGGAAAAAAATCTAGGAAGTCAGTTGTAACTGAATTTTTTATGTAACATGAAGCAAGTAATGATGCAGAAGTTTTTTTGCTGGAAGGAGAGGTTGGATTTTTATTATGTTACAAATGGAACAGACAGTGCCAAAAGACAGTTTCAGTGTAATCGGCTCATCAAGTCAGTAGGCTTTGGGTAATTTTATAGTCTTAAGAAGTATTCTTAGATGAATTCTGATTTGACAACAATAGCTTTTAAAGATCTCAAACCAGGAAAATTTCATGGACTTGGAGAACACGTAGTAATCCTAGAGCTTGCAAAGAATAAAAACCAGTGTTGCAGAGAATTGTAAGCCTGTGTTGGTTTTCATTCCAACTGGAAATAACAAAGAAGGTAATTTGGGATTATATCAATAAAGAACTGCCAGTTGAAAATCATCAATGATGTCAGCAAGATTTCAGGAAAAATTGATCTTGTCACGTAAAAGAAAAAAGCCATAGTTAATCTGTGCCTTAAAAGGATGAATGTCATTGATTTCATATAGGCCCTTTTAATTTCTTCAGGGTAATTTGGCAAAATGCTGATGGTGACTTGTCTGAAGTTTTTAATTGTTTGAAATCAATGGCTCATTTTTTACAGGTACTGTTACTTAGATGATAGATCCATCTCAAGTTTTAGTAGTATATGGAGGAAGGATAAGAGAGCTTCTAGTATTACTAACATGGTCCAAATTAATTTAAATATTTTAATCTAGTTAGTGTAAAATATTTGCATGTGACATTTTTGCATGAGTCTAATAGAAGTTTACTGAATGCAAATGGATGAGCTTTTATATATAAAGGAAATTGGTCCCTCTACAGAGTAGTGGAATTGATAAATAGTATTCTGGCCTGGTGTCCAAACTGCTAAATGTGAAAATACTGGAAGAGACAGTTTAGTGGAGATTAAGAAAAATGATACTTAGAAAAAGATATTTGAAAGAGAACTTTATAATGGTACTTCCCAAGGCTGAATTCAGTTTCTTCACTTTATAGCTGAACTAATTGTGCAGATTCCCTTTGGATTCTGTGGAGGGGAGTGAACCTTGCACTAGCATATGATTTGCACTCTCTTCCCTCAATTCACTAGCAGAAGCCTATGCACAAGTAACTCACATGGGAATATTTATTTTTATAGGAAATGAATGCTACTCTTATGATGCACAAGAAGTATTTACAAGGTGATTAAATAATGGTGTGTTTTAAAAGGTGTATTTGATAGAAGGACTTAACTAAAAGTTGGAAGTCTAGGCATTTATAAGTTAAGCTTGTGCATTAAAAAAATGGAGAGAGGATGAAGCCAGCACAAGAACCAGTTTTTTTTTAAAGTTTTAGATATGTTTATTAAAGACTTATTTAGAATCAATATTAAAATCACAGAGAGAGAAAAATTTGTTTGCTTCAGCTTGTCCGAGTGAAGTTCAGAAAAGAGATCATATCACTCCAGAGGAGCAGTCTGTTTTCTCTGTCCCCATAACTGTGTCTGGGAGTTACAGTTCTCATGGAAAGAACCAAGAGCATCTGTTTTGCTTCCATCCTCCTCATGCAGTAGTTGCTAATGTTGCTATTTAGAACAAATTTTAGTTACTGGCTTAGAATGAAAGACTTGACTGAGAAGTAAATAGTTTCCTGAACAGGTTTTATAACAAATGAGCTGTTGGTAAGCTTTCCTTTAACTGTTGGCAGCCAGTAAAAATACCCTTTTCCCTAATGCTTTAAATTGCTGCATATTCTATCCAAGACTTGTTGCCTTTCAAGTATGTGGCTAGACTTGCAGAGCTCCCAAAATTCTGCCTGCCCTTTTCTCTCCAGAGAACTACTGGGCAGGGTTTTCCAGTACTGTAAATGCTGAGCTGGGATTAGAGGAAAATGCTTGATGCGAGTTTCAGTCAGAAGAGAAATGTTAGGGGTTTTTATTTCTAGTTGTGTGACGACACAAAATATCAGTTGGACATGATATCTAGCGAGAAATATGATGAAAACACAAAATAACTTCTTCAGTTAAAATCAAGTGCATTTATTTGGATTTCCTTTGCAAAGAAAACTCATAAATATCTGCCAGGAAAATAAATATTTTAGCTCTGCTTCTTTCACAGGAAGTATCTTTTGAGTTATATGATAAATATTGAACTGTTTTTAAAAAGTGTGTATAATTTGTTTTAATGACAAGCTACAATCAAGTCATTATGAGGTTTTTTTCAGTATGGATTTATAAATTAATTTATGGCTGCTGCTAGTTGTCCTCCTTGTCTGTAAATTAAATTATTTTCCAACAGTTGTTTAGGTAAAATGTCAAGCTCAAGAAATGTTGTTTCCAATTGACTTCTGTATGGTGTGGAGAAATAAGCTGGTCTTCTATGGTATTCATGTTTGACATCAAGTTCTTGAGTTATAATGGTGACATAGTCCTTGTTTTCCCAATAAAACAACTAATTAGCTCCCTTTATATTAAGCTTTTTACACTTGAATCTTGCTACTTTTTTTCCTGCACTGGAAAGAGAAAATTATTTGATGTAAGGAGATGCAGAATTTAAGAGAAAATCAGGTGGAGGTACAAGAAAGTGTACCAGAAGGAGAAGTAGTCAGGTACAGGGATATACTGCAGCTTGCAGAATGAATACCAAGATGGGGTTTAGGGGAGGAGAAAGACAGATAGATAGATTGAAGATGAAAGTAAAGAATGAACAACCCAGTAGGAAATGTGAGAAGAGGGTGAAGGAAAGGAGAGCAAGGAAGAAGCTGCCTGCTGCAGACTGAAGAAAAAGAGAATAAAAGACATTTCTGCTTAGGAGAGAAGTGTAAAGTTCCACACTCGTTTATGCATTTTTCCAAAGCAATAGGAGCTAATTAAAAAGCTTAATCAAATGATGCAGAATTGTCTGTGTATTTTGTATTTTGTGTATGTATATGCAGTTTAAAACATTCCTCTTGCCACTCTTCTTAAATGTGTTTTCAAGATGTAGAATTATTTCTCCTGAGAAAATTTGCTATCTGAATTGCAGGTTAGACTGGTTGCAGGGTATGCAAGTTTTAACCATCTGTGTGGCTGTCAATACAGAAAATTAATGAATTGTCTGGACCCTTCTAGTGTGCATGACCACCATATCTTTTTACTTCAGGTTTTTCTGTTACAAAATCAAAGCCACATTACTGTTTTTGAGTCACTAAGCAGTTTAGTGTTGAGATGGCTAAGTTATGTCAGGTTTTGGAAGCTGCATGATATGCTGATTAAAAAAATATTCTGACTTTCTCCAAGACTGTGCTGATTCCGCATTGACCTTGTCTGCCACAAACTGTTTGGCAAGCTGTAAACATCCTGGAAAAAAACCAAACAAAAACAACCTACTTAATGCAGGAGGTAGAAAGACTAGGGTGCTAGTAAGATAATTTGAAATTTTGAACAGCAGAACATTTCTGGCATTTACAGGGCTCATATATGTGGACAAGTATGAAAATGTCATTAGGGTTATATAGATAAGCTAATTTATTAGTAATTTCCCACTCACATTTCAACCACCCAAAGTTTAATGGCAATATTTACACAATATTCCACAAGCTATTAGAAGAATTTTGAATTTTCATGACCTTTGTTTAGAGTATTGGCTTTCCATTACTTGCAGAGGAATTTGGTAAAGAGCATGTTTCTTTTATGTCTGGCATGCTCTGAAATCTTAAACAGAAAACAATGAGTGAAGGATAATAAAATACCGGACACTGGGGACTTGACTAAAGCCCCCAAGGGCTTAAAGTGCTGGACAGCTGTGTGAAAGCACTTAGTGTGTTGGAGGGAGATTTTGCAAGAACCAGTAAGTTATAAATTTTAAAAGAATTTAAAGTAATTAAAGAAGTAAAAAATATTCATTCATATATGCAGCTTTTGTAAAATGTTGACATGGGACTTACTTTTCTCATGCAATGCTTGACTACTATTTTTTGACTTTTCTCTTGAATTTTCTTTTAGGGAATGTATATTTAAATTCAGCAGTCACTTAAGATATGTGCAGCTTCATTTATATATTGCTGCATTAATGGTTACATACCTCTGTCATCAGTCAAGACAGTTTTTTTAATGCTCAAAATGTACTGTAGAAGAGCCTTCAACACCAATCTCTACAATTGTTGAGCTTTGATTTTTGTAAATGTGCTTTTCTAACTTTTTTTCATGTAAAGCTTGGCTTTGCATGTCTATAGTTAGACAAATATAAAAATATGTTTCAAAGAATCTGCTATTCAGCTAGTGAGTGATTTCACCAATCCTGTATTCTCTCTGCTGCCTTCCCCACCAGACAGGTTTTCAACTGAACTTTTAACACTTTAAGGGTTGAACACTGTTCAATATTTATGCTAGTCATTTTATTCTCGTGCCTTATTTTTCTGTGGTACTATGATTTGATATTTTTACTGTGAACAAGCCTTTAACTTTTTTCAGCTTCATCAGATTTCCCATTTTAGAACTGAATAATGTGTATGGAAAAAGCAAAAAACAGTCAAAAATAAATAATTTGCATCCTTTGCTAAGTACATTTCTATTCTATTTGACATTTCTATTTTAACATAGATTGTTGAGTTTCCCACTTTGGTGCATTTGCCTTCCTTCTTTTTATTTTTAATGGGCGAAATTGGGTGTACTTACTTAGTTCAATGTGAATGAAACAGATGGCAATTCAAAAGCTGATGTAAGAGGTGTATCCTGTTTTGGGCCTATTTAAGCAGAGATGCCATGTTGAATCTCAGCCTTTTTGTACAAAAGAAGCTCATGAGAGAAGTGAAGCACAAGAATGACATCCTGGTACCACTTGAAGACATGCTCTTATTGACTCCGTGGATCTGGCAGTTTATTTCCAGTGTAACAATCAAGCATGAAAATATAGTTGAAGTGTAAAAAGTAAGACCTTTTTTTTTTTTTTCCTTTTTTTCTCCTCTTCTCATATGCAAGAACACTGGAACTATTTTGGGGCAGATGAGAATCTGGGTCCAGTAGCTGTGAGTATAAGAAGAGAGAAGCCAGAGGAAATCAAAGAAAATGGACCTCAGTACAACTACCGGATCATATTCAGAACCAGTGAGGTAAGCAGTTCAGGGGGGATAGTAAAAGAAAATAGAAGTGAGCAGGCAAAACCAGGTGGAATATGTGGTTTATGTGCTTTTCAGCATTGATAATAGATTTCTTCATAATCCAGGAACCTTCTGACAGAATTATGCTACATGTTTATCTGGCACAGAATATTTGTCAGTTACTCTATAACATCCAATACAGAGGAAATGCTGAAGATTGTTTTTTGGTTAAATCTTGAGAAACTTACAGGAGCTATATTAGCTAGATGCAAGCAAAGAGGAGGAAAATTGCTTTCTTCACTTTTATGTGTGGCAGTGGGTATACCTGAGAAATGTACTTTTTACTTTTAAATGCTCAATAGTATAGAAGTACTATACTAATAGTAATTTTCAAGGTAGTAGTTTCCTGTAAAACTTAAATCTGATGAATCATTTGAAATAGTCGGATTACTGTTATCAGTGAGTGACATTGTGTGTATCAGTGTTAGTCTCATGCTAACAGAAATTCCTTCATGTCCTTGATCTCTACTGAAAATTGGAAAAATCGTACGTTTAGCTCCATTGCTATTGCTAGTCAGTCTCAGTGCATAATTCAATATATGTGCTGTTTTTCTTTTCTATGCATAGCTCATGACATTAAGAGGCTCCGTGCTGGAAGATGCTATCCCTTCTACTGCAAAGCATTGCACAGCCAGGGGACTTCCCCTAAAAGAAGTGCTGGAGTATGTGGTTCCTGAGCTGAATATCCATTGCCTAAGGCTGGCCTTCAACACTCCGAAAGTCACAGAACAACTTATGAAGCTTGATGAGCAAGGGGTAAGTGCAGAGTTACAGAATTAAATAAATTATCTTAATCTGCCAGATTATTGCCATGAGTTGCAAAATGATCTTTTAGCATTTCCTGATTAGTCTGTTGAAATGCCTCATTTAAACTAAAATTTGTCATCTGTAGGGAGAGTTATGTTGCATTTATTTCCCCCAGTTTTTGCAGAATATTGGGATGTATGAAATCAAGGTCATTTCTCTAGGTAGCCTGAAATTTTAGATTAATGTTATGGCAGTTGTTCATTTAAATTTCCTTTAAAAGAGACTACATTATTGTTTTTCAAAGATTATGGGAAGGAGGGAGTTCTGTTTTTCTTACTGCTATTCTATGAAGAGGAGAAGTCTCCCATGGTGCTAAATGTTTCACTGTGATACTGCATTGGCTAAACCATGACCAGGGTGCTGCCTGTCTTGTTTTGTTTTTTTCATGTTCTTTTTTTCTTTCCTCTGGAACAAACTACGTGGGAAAATATTCTAAGGTTTTCTCCATATGACTAATTTTCAATGAGGTGATAGTCTCCTTGTCTTTTAAAGCTGGAACCAAGGCTCATCAGTGCTACAGTTTAGACTTAGCAAAATGAAAGTCCATGACTGAAGTGAATTTTATGATTATAAACTTCAGTAGTGGCATTTTATAGCTGTGTGCATGCCTTAGTCCTCACTGGCAACCTCTCTTTCCATGCCTCTTGAGTGGATGGACCCAAGATGGGGACTGGGTCCCTCCTACTGTAGGAAATGATCATGTTCGTGACCACCTGATGAACATGAATGTCCGTGTACATAAGTCAGTGTCAATGTCCAATGTCCATAATGTCTGTGGGACACAGTGAGATGCATCCCAGTCCTGAAGAAATTGGCTGATGTAGTTGCCAAGCTGCTCTCCTTAGCATTTGAAAAGTGATGATAGTCAGGGGAAATCCAAGGAGTCTGAAAGAGGGAAAACTTGTACCCATGTTTAAAATGTGTGGAAAGGAATATTCCCTGGGATCCAACACCATGTGAGCCTCCACTCTGTGCTTGGAAAGGTCATGGAACAGATCCTCCTAGAGGCTGATCCATGGAGGACAGGGAGGTGGATTTGAGGCAGTCAGCACAGGTTCAGGAAGGGCAAATCCTGCCTGACCAAACCAGTGGCCTATGACGGAGTAAGTACATCAGTGGATAAGGGAGGGGTTAAGGATAATCTTTTTCTGGACTTCTGGGCATGGTCCCCACAACATCATTCTCTCTGAATCGGAGAGAGATGGATTTCATGACTGTTAGATGGATAAGGAAGTGATTGGATGGTCACATCCAAAGGGTAATGGTTAATGGCTGAGAGTTACGGTGGACATCAGGAACGAGTGGTGTATCTCTGGTCCATAGTAGGACTTAATATCTTCATTAATATCATAGATGAAGGGATTGAGTGTACCCTCAGCAAATTAGGTATAGCTGAATGGTGTGGCTGCCATGCCTGAATGATGGGATGTCATCCAGAGGGACTTGGACAAGCTCAACAAGTGGCCCCATGGGAATCTCATGAGGTTTAAGATAAACAAGAGCAAAATGCTGCACCTGGATGTTGTACTTTTAGTATTTACAGCCTGGGGACTGAACAGATTGAGAGCAGCCCTGCTGAGACACACCTGGGGGTGCTGGTGGGTGAGAGGCTGGACATGACCCAGCAGGGGTCCAGACTCTGGGCACTGCCAGCCTAGAGAGCCAGATGTGTCCTGGGCTGCATCCAGAGCAGCCTGGGCAGCAGGGCAGGGAGGGGATTCTGCCCCTCTGCTCTGCTCAGACCCCACCTGGAACCCTGCATCAGCTCTGGGGTCTGCAGCAGAAAGGAAAGGGACTTGGAGTGAGTCCAGAGGAGGCCCCCAAGATGATTAGAGGGAAAGAGCACCTCTGCTGTGAGGAAAGGCTGAGAGAACTGGGATTGTTCATCCTGTAAGAGAAGGCTTGGTGTGACCTAGTTGTGGCCTTCCAGTACCTGAAGGGAACCTGTAAGAAAGAGGGAGAGGGACTTTAGCAAGAGCACAGAGTGACAGGACAAAGGGGAATAATTTCAAACTGAAGGAGAGTAGGTTTAGAGTAGATATTAGGAGGAAGTTCTTTGCTGTGAGGGTGGTGAGGGCTGGACCAGGTTCCCCAGAGAAGCTGTGGATGCCCCATCCTGGAAGTGTTCCAGGCCAGGTTGGGTGGGGCTCTGAGTAGCCTGGTCTAGTGAGAAGTGTCCTTGCCTGTGGCAAGGGGTTTGGAGCTGGATGATCTTTCAGGTACCCTTCCAACACAAACCACTCTATGATTCTGTGACATCTAACAAAACTGTGAGGTTAAATTATCCTTAGTTCATATCCTGTATGTTATTAAGCTCCCATAGTGTGGTTTTCTAATACTTCAACTTTTAAAAATCATTAAGGGCAAGTGACAGTTAAATTTTTATTATCTGCATCAAAGTATTTTCTGTTTTTGTGGTAATGAAACAGTTTGACACTTCTAGCCGAAAAAGATAAGTACACTCTGTACTAATTAGAAGCTGCATTTTTTCAATTCTAAGCGAACAAAAATTGGGTAGCAGCTGCTCTACTAATTAAGTACACAGAATGTTGATCACTTCTTCTTGCTGAGTGTCACACTGTTTCATTACAGCATGAACAGGTGCCTGTTTGATATAGCAGATAAAATGTTTTGTAAATTTAAGAGTTAAGATTATAATGTCACCTTAGCCTGACTTAGCCATTAAATTTCACTCAGGAATCCCTTCAACATGCCAAATTTGTATGCATCAGTTTTC